TATCACAACAATTTTAATATGCACTGAACACCTCTGGCAAGTTACACAAAAAACTGGAGGTCTTTCCTCCTAAGGTGAAAAAGCTTTAGGAGGCAGTAATGTGCAAATGATCCGGCGTATCAACAGTAACGAGTAGCAGGGATAATAACTAGTGCTTTTATGAAGACAGTTATCAAAGAGAAATTCACAATTTTAGATCTTCTTTTAAAAACTGCATTTGAAGGAACTAGTGGTTCAATGTCCATAATCCTAGCTACTCAGGAGGCTGAGATCTGAGGATAAAGGTTCAAAGCTAGTCTGAGCAGAAAAGTCTGTAAGACCCTTATCTCCAATTAACTAGCAAAAACTCAGAAGTGGAGACATGGCTCAAGTGGTAGAGCAACAGCCTTCAGCAAAAAAGTCAAGTATTTAGCCGGGCGCCGGTGGCTCACGCCTGTAATCCTAGCTACTCAGGAGGCTGAGATCTGAGGATCGCGGTTCAAAGCCAGCCCGGGCAGGAGAGACCATGAGACTCCTATCTCCAATAAAAAAAACCACTAGAAAGCCGGAAGTGGCGCTGTAGCTCAAGTGGTAGAGCTCTCGCCTTGAGCTGAAGAGCTGAGGGACAGCGCCCAGGCCCAGAGTTCAAGCCCCACAACCGCCAAAAAAAAACAAAAGTCAAGTATTGTGATCCACCAAGTTCAAATTAAATAAATAAGGAATTCCCAATTCCCAACAATTTTTAAAATTGTTTATTATTCTACTATTATTTGTCTATATGGAAATCTATTTCCACTAAAAACCTTCCTTAAAAAATAGACTTTTTATTTTATAATAGATACATAAACTAAAGAAATGAAACTGGTATCTCTGTGGATTTATATACACATATGCATTTCTATCTAATCCATTATTTTAAAGCATTATACACTTTATAATACCATTCTCTATGACAAAACAGTATGTCAAATAGCAATGAGCTGTCTCAATTAAAATGAGGTGTTTCTACTAAGATCCCTTCAGTTTGGAGGCAGTGGGAGAACAAAGGAAGAACTTGGTCACACAGTACTAGCTGTTCACATTTGGGTGCCAGGTCAATATTAAGACTATCTATATAGAGTATAGATGCTGGAAAGCATCACAAAACTCCCCATCTTTCCATTTTTGTTATCGAAAACTAAAGCATATGATAAGCAAATACAACATTCTAATCATATCAAATTTACTTTTCTTTGTTCTAGAATGATTCTGTCTTTCATTTACTAGTATTTTTGAAGTAATAACTAATTATCTAAACTACCAAGTCTATTGCTGAGGTTAATTAACATGTTTAGGAATGCCTCAAATAGTTTCAACCTACAATTAAGATTTACTTTACCAAGACCCAACACTGGCAGAAACTTCAAATGACCTGAATCAGACATACCACATGCTAATATGAAGTCAGTAGAAATAAACTCTACTCTCAAATTCTGTATTCTAGCCAACAAATGATTGAAAAAAAAACACACCTTGAAAATACAAACTGCCTATTCAGAAAATCAAAAGTAAAAATGATGGCATTCAAGCTTCCAGTTGAAAACTTAAGTGCATTTATGGCAAAGTCTAAAATCTGAGTTGGCAAATTATTGAAAAGAAATATTTTACAAATTACAAAATGGTATTTAAACAAACATAAAGGAAGTGGTGCTGTGGCACTAGCCTTGAGCTGAAGAGCTGAGGGACAGTGCCCAGGTCCAGAGTTCAAGCTCCACAACCGACCAAAACCAAAACCAAACACACACAAAGAGGGAGACACAAGCATTTCATTAAAAGCATTCAGAGAGACTGGACACCCTTTATAATATTAATATTTTGTTCTTTTTGTCTTCTGCATTTTCAAGTGATATATTAACACTAAAATGATAACGATGCTAAACTTAAATGATGATGAAATATAATATTAAATATAATGGTCCCTCCCTGTGTATTTTGTTTCCTTGGTCCTCTTTCCCCAGCTAGCTCTTTCTTTCCACAGGCCTGGTTTCCAAGGTCTTTGTGATCATTTGAGCACTTACTGTTCTCTAGCTCTACAGGGTTTAGGTACATGGTTTATAAAACTATTTTTTCCTTTGGGGCTGCTGATGGGCCTTGAGTGCAGGCTTAGTTATGGCTTAGTTCTTTTGCTCAAGGAGCGTTAACATTTGAGCCACATCTCCACTTCCATCTATACTTTTTAAAATAACTGCTCTTACTGTCAATTTCTTATTAGAATTAGATTTCAAGTTCACTTCTAAAAGGAGAGACTATGCCCACTTCTGCCAAGAGCAACTACAGTACCAGGAAAGCAATACAACAACAACACCACAATGAGTGAATTTATAAAATTAACCATGAGATAGTGATCTGTCCTGCTTAAGAACAACTGTGACATAGTTCATCTTCTTAAACTGCAGTCTAAAAAAGATGCTAAAGTGAAGACAAAAGCAGGCCTCTCACATGAACAAAAAACACAGCCTAGCCGATCCAACATCAAAAACACTAGTAAAATGGTAACTTCACTTGTGTGAAATGTACCAGCTAATAATTCATGAATTATAAAGAAAACAAGTCATATCTTTGCTTCATGCTCTATGATGTTCCTTGCTACCTTTGGCTGCTGAGTCTGAGATGCTAGTGTTGGCTTTATGCTTAGATTCCAGACTCAGTCCTGGACCTCTGTCTCAACCTATTCCATGAAGTAGATTCAGCTCAACTTGTGACCTGCATGTCACCAACATGCAGAGGATACCCAAAACGTGGGACTGCAGACTTCCCTTTCAACTGGTAAGAAATCACTTCTCACAGAAGAGAACTAAACAAATTTTGCAACCTGAGGAGTCCACCAAAATGTATGTGCATGACAGTTAAAATAATGACAAATTCTTGGGCTTGGCTTCCAGATAGCAGAAAAGCAAGTAACAGAGGTGCTGCTTCTTTTAAAAACTTTATTTTGAAATGATTAAAAGCTCAGAGGGAACTAGTACAATGTGTAAAATACCATGTACTCTGTCCCAAGTGAAACTTTTTTTTTGCTTTGTTTGTTTTTCAGAGCTGATGACTAAACTCAGGGTCTTGTACTTGCCAGGCAAGTGCTCTTCCACTGAGCTAAATCCTCAGTACCACAAGTGAAACTATTATAACCTTGGCATAACAGAAAACTCAGGAAAATGGCATAGGCTCATTACTGTTAAGACTACAGAACTTGCTCAGTTTTCATCCATTCTGAAATCTTTGTGTGCAGATCTATGCAGCATTTTACCATGGTGGAGTCCTGTGGCTATCTCCAGTATCAAGACACACACTGCTCCATCACCACAAAGACCTTCCTCACACTGCCCCTTTACTGCTGCTCACTGCCTCTCTCTCTTCTGTCTTTGTCTCCTGGAAATAATTCATCTGTTCTCTATCTTGACCGTTTTGTTAAGAATATGATATATATAAACAGAATCATATGTCACATTAGTATTTAATTATTTTCAGGTAGCAGAAGTTCATTCTTTTTAATTGTTCAGTAGTATATTCCAGCATGTGGATATACCACAATCTGTTCAATCATTCATCAACTGAATGGTTATTTCCAATATATTGCTACTGCAATATATTACTCTCACAAATGAAGCTGCTATGAATGTTAATGGACAAGTATTCCAGTGTGCACTTTAATTATTCTGGGGAAAATATCCAAGAATTGTTGAATAATTTGGAAATTGATATTTGGAAAAACAGTGTTTAGTATTTTCCAGAGTAGTTTTGTCATTTTACCGTGTGCGTGTGTGTGTGTGTGCCTGCATGTGCCCATACACACCAATCACAACTAAACCTTGAACTCAGGACCTGTGTGCTCACTCAGCTTGTTTAATCACAGCTGGCACTCTACCACTTGAGCCACACCTCCAGCCCCAGCTACTGACTGCTTAGTCTGGAGATGGAATCTTACAGACTGTTCTGCCTGGTCTGGTTTCAAACTACATGCTCTGACCTCAGCCTCCTGAGTACCTAGGATTATAGTTTACATTTCTTTCAGAATATGAGAGATCTATTTCTGTGTCCTCACCAGTATTTACTATTACTTCTATTTTTTTAACTGTTCCAGGCTACTGGTGGGTTTAAGTGGTCTTTGGCTAATAGCTCATGATCATTGTTCATTTGCCATCTGTATATTCTCCTCCTGCATGACATGCCTGTGATCGTTCTCTCATTTTGTTACTGGATTGCTTGAAAGATTTATAGAATCTAGATATAAGGCTTGTGACAGTTAATCTTGGTCTCAGCTCCACTGGACTGATAGAAGACATAAACAAATTTGGAGCCCACCCCTGGGTATGTCTCTGATAGTGTTTACAGAGATAAAAGGCAAACCAGAGGAGAAGCTCCATGTTTAGAGTGTTCTTTTCTTTTCTGTTTTATCTGAAACTGGTACTCAAACTTGGTACCTGACGCTTTCATTCACTGGCTAGTGCTCTACCAACTAAGCATGCCTCCAATCCCACTTAAAGAGTTTTTCAGAAGGGTTCTAAGCTGGGTTCCAGTGGCCTACGCCTATAATCCTAGCTACTCAGGAGGCTGAGATCTGAGGATCACAGTTCGAAGCCAGCCTCAGGAGAATAGTCCTCATAAGACTCTTATCTCTAACCACTCAAAACCGGACATGGCCCTGTGGCTCAAGGTGTAGAGCACTAGCCTTGAGCACAAAGAGGTTCAGGGACAGCGCTCCCAGGCCCTGAATTCAAGCCCCACATTAACCAAAAAAAAAAAAAAAATGCTGACTGGATGGAAATTTGTGCATACATACTGTACACCTTATATAAACAAACACATCAGTTCAGTAATGCTAATAAATAATGAAAACAAATAAGAGGCAAAATAACTAGAACCATCTTAAACTATTTTGGCTGATGAGAATCTACCTAAGACTGTAATTAATTTATTTGGTAGAAAATAGCTGTGTTTCTAGCTATCCCATGGTCGCCCCCCGCAGATGCTAACCAGGGCCGACTTACCTATGCACATAATGCAGCTGATGAACTGAATCAATTGCTATCACCATCTCAGCCAAATAGAATCGAGCCATATCTTCAGGTAGTCTATCCTCAAACTTGCTGAGCAGAGTAAGTAAATCTCCACCAACATAATAATCCATAACCAGGTACTGTGAATACAAAATGTACTTTAAAAGTAATAATGGTAAAAAAAAAAAATTAACATTGAATGTACTCCAAAGTCAAATAGGACTAGGCCAAATATAGTGGTTATCATATTATAAAGTCTGTGACTTAAATTCCACAGAGAGGTAAAATAAAAAAAAATTAAAACTAGTTCAGAGAGCAGCACAGGATTATTTTTTGTTACAACCTATGATGGATCATAGCTTTGTCAACAATTCACAGAGGTCTGAATGTTTCAACTCTCAAAAGAAAGAAGAAAGTAACTCAGAATGCGGGACAACCCTTGTGTTGGAAAGAGTTACAAATACAAAAATCAATGGGGCTGGGAAGGTGGCTCAGTGGTAGAGTGTTTGCCTCGCATGCATAAGGCCCTGGGTTCGATTCCTCAGCACCACATAAGCAGAAAAAACCAGAAGTGGCGCTGTGGCTCAAGTGGTAGAGCACTAGCCCTGAGCTGAAGAGCTGAGGGACAGAGCCCAGGCCCAGAGTTCAAGCCCCACAACTGACAAAATAAATAAATAAATAAATCAAAGATCATTTTCATCATCCCTACCACTACACTTTCCTATTTCACCCTGATCTCCACCCATCTATAGATAACAACTATGAGACAGAAAGTACTTATTTCCATTCTTTGGTTCTCTACTCATTTCTGATATGATATCTAATTGAGTATAAATATCAAAATAAATTTTCTTCTCAAGTATATGTTAACAGAAGCCAGGTAATTTTACACATGGACCTTGTGTCTAAGGTAAGAGTTTTTGCCTCACAACCATGAATCAGCTCCAGTGCTGCCAGAAACAAGTATCACGTATACATGTGGTATTTGCATATGTAGCACTTAACATGAAAGCCAGTATAGAAGATACTTACACATCACTGGCATTACAGTAATTTTTATTACAGAATGGTTATCATTGAGATAACAGAGGCTTGAAGCCAAGCAGAGTGGTTTACACCTTGTAATTACAGCTACTTGGGAGGCAAGGAAAGAAGGGGTTTATAGTTTGAGGCCAGCCTGGGGGGAAAAATATCCTGTCTCAAAGAACAAGCCGGGTACAGTGATACACACCTGTAATCCCAGCTACAGAAGAAACAAAAGTAGGATGAGTGAGGTCCCAGACAAAAGCATGAGACCCTACATAAAAGATATAACTGTAGTGTCAGGCAGAAAACCATAAAAACTGGGGCCAAGTCTCAGGTGGGAGATCATTTGTAAGAACATGAGTTCAAACCACAATACCACCAAAAATTTAAAATAAAGTCTAGAGAAAACTTTTTTCTTGCTATATATGAAAATTTAAAGCATAAGAATATATGTTAAACCAAGAAAAAAACTTACCTCATGCCTTGAAAATTTAGGAAACTAACTTTCCCTAATATATGGTTTACTTGTATTTACTGGTATCTATTAAAATTTAAAAGGTAAATGCCCCCTGATCTAACATTGCCAATTTAGAGATTCTACTAAAATACTGACTTGATTCTGGAGTTATCCGCTGGTGCCTTCATGTGCATGTAAAGTTAGAAGAGATCTTTTTCTGTTTGGTTTTTGGGTTTTTTTTTGCAAAAGTCTTAGGGCTTAAACTCAGGGACCAGGTTCTGTCTCTGAACTTTTATGCTCAAGGCTAGTGCTGTGACACTTTGAAAAACATCTCTAGGGGCTGGGAAGGTGGCTCAGTGGTACAGCCCTGGGTTTGATCCCTCAGCACCACATTAAGCAGAAAAAGCCGGAAGTGGTGCTGTGGCTCAAGTGGGTAGAGCGCTAGCCTTGAGCTGAAGAGCTGAGGGACAGCGTCCAGGCCCAGAGTTCAAGCCCCACAACAGGAAGGAAGGAAGGAAGGAAGGAAGGAAGGAAGGAAGGAAGGAAGGAAGGACATCTCTACTTCTAGCTTTTTTGGTAGTTAACTGGAAATAAAAATTTCACAAAGTTTCCTGCCCAAGCTGCCTTCAAACCACAATCCTCAGAACTCAGCCTCCTAAAATTTGAGCTAGGATTACAGGCGTGAGTCACCATGACAGCATAATAATAGACTTTTTGCCTTTCCTATTGTACGTTTTTCCAGATCTAGAGAGCAGTATTTAGCAAATGAATTTAAATGTCCCATTATTTGTTTTGTTTTGTTTTTTGTTGGTTGTGAACTCTGGGCTTGGGCACTGTTCTTATACTCTTCAGCTCAAGGCGAGCGCTCTACCACTTGAGCCATAGCACCACTTCTCCATTTTTTTAAAGCTAATTTTACTGTCAAGGTAATGTATAGAGAGGCTACAGTTATATACGTAAGGTGATGAGTACATTATTCTTTGTTTGCTTGTTTTCAGTATCTGCCACAGAGCAGAATCTCACCACATGATATATATATGAGACAATAAACCTGGAAATAAAACCTGGGATCAAAAATTGAAAAGCTGTGGCCAGGCGCCAGTGGCTCACGCCTGTAATTCTAGCTACTCAGGAGGCTGAGATCTGCCTGGGCAGCAAATCTGTGAGACTAATTAACCACCAGAAAACAGGAAGTGGCGCTGTGGCTCAAGTGGTAGAGCGCTCATCTTGAGCTGAAAAACTGAGGGACAGCGCCCAGGCCCAGAGTTCAGGCCCCACAAAATTAAATAAATAAATAAAGTTCTGAATAGCATGATCAAGGAGCTGCACATTAATGTAACAAATGTAAACCCACTTAACCTTTAGCCTGCTATCTTCGTTTTTCTTTTCATTCTTACTCATTCTCAATTGGTAGAGCTACTAAAATTTTTGTTTTCCTCTAATCTCTTCCCCAACTATTGTGAGAGTAGTTTATGATGCCAATATAAATTTAGCTCTACTTAATGTAGAACAAAGCAACTTTTAAAACTACGTACAATTTTAAAAAGCAGAACACAATGAATACATTGGGAAGATCTTGAAAAGAAAAACTCCAGAACACTTTTCTACAGAACTTAACCAACAGCACTTTACCATGTTAGATTTAGTTTTGAATTGTTTGTTGATTATAGATGGTTCACACCCGTACTCCTAACTGCTCTGAAGACTGAGATCTGGAGAACCATGACTCAAAACCAGCCCAGGAAGAAAAGTACATGAGATTAAGTCTTCAAAATAACCAGCAAAATGCAGAACTGAAGGTGTGCCTCAAGTGTTAAAGGGCCAGCGGAGCAAGTCCAGTAAACAAGAGGCTCTGAACCCAAACCAGTGCCAGTGAAGAAAAAGAAAAAGCAGAAATGATTACAATGAAAGGTATTAACTCACCCACAGGAAAAAAAATCTCGTTATCAAATGAACAACTTATCCTCTGTGAATACAGTGGTTTTTCTCATCTACAAATTTACATTTAAATGATACCTTAGATAATTTTAAATTCCATCAACCAAGAAATGAGTAAGGACACAGAGGCTCATAAAATGTCTTACTAAGTTATTGTCATCCTGGAAGGCATAGTGCAGAGCTGTGATCCACTGATTGTCCCCATTCACCAGCACATCCCTCTCCTCACGGAAACACGCTGTCTGAAAGAGAACAAAAAGATCATGCAAAATGCCTCAAGTGTCTACTATATGTTTCTATTCTGGAACAAAAGCACCTCAGTACTAAGTGATTTAACCAGTCAACATGCAAAGCAAAAAGTACGCAGTAGCTCAGATTCCTTAAGAAAATATTTTATATTAAAACTACTGTTACAATTAAAAACAACCAGAAGGATATAGAGCATACTTTAACCCACCATCCAGATAATATAAATGTCCATATTTTACTGCCTTTCCTATAACCTTTCTATTTTTATTCTGTAGCTCTTCCCTTCTCTTCCTCCCTGGTTTTCCAGTAGTTAGAAAACAGTGAATAGTCTATGCCCACATACATTATATATGTCCAGAAACAACAGAAGTGGATTTTTTGGAAATTTTGCATAAATACTGCAATTTTATCCATCTTTTTGCAAACTGATTGTTTTTTTATTCAGTAATAACTTTTCCTCTTGTAACTACTATGTTATTCTATTGTTTCTACGGGCCTTAATTTATTTACTCAAGTCCCAATCATATTAAGTTATTTACAATTTTGTGTTATTACAGTGTTAAAATGAGTGCTGTACAAGTTATAGATTTCCGTATAGTATGCACTTATAAAAGTAGAAGTAGAGCTGGATGCCAGTAGTTCGCACCTGTAATGCTAGCTACTCAGAAGGCTTATATCTGAGAATCAAGGTTTGAAACCACCTAAGGCCAAAACATCCATGAGAACCACTAAAATGCTAGAAGTGGAGCTGTGGCTCAAGTGTAGAGCCAGGAGCCTTGAGCAAAAAAGGTAAGGGAGAGGAAAGTACCCAGGCTCTAGAACTAATCACACACACACAGAAGTAGAAATGCTACATAGGAGAAAATTTCAAATTTGTGCCAGACACTAATGGCTCATGCCTGTAATCCTAGCTACTCAGGAGGCTGAGATTGTAGTTCAAAACAGCCTGGGCAAGAAAGTCTGAGATTTTTATCTCTAATTAACTACCAAAAAAAGCTGGAAGTGGAGCTGTGGTTTAAGAGGAGTGTTAACACAGAAAGAGAGAGGGAGAGAGAGGAAGAGAGAGGGGGAGGGGGAGGGGGACGGGGGGAGGGCGGGGAGAAGGCGGGAGAAGAAAGGAAGGGGGAGAGAGGGAGGAGGGAGGAAGGAGGAAGGGGAGAAAGAAGAGGGAGGAGGGAGGGATGGAAGGAGGGAGGGAAGGAGAAGGGGAGAGGGAGGGAAAAGGGGAAAGGGAGGGAGAGGGGGAAAGGGAGGGAAAGGGGGAAAGGGAGGGAGAGGGAGAGAGAAGGGGGAGGGAGGGAAGGAGGGATGGAGAGGGAGGGAGAGGGAGAGAGAGAGAGAGAAATTTTTTCCTATGTACTCTTATCAATCAACTGCTCCCACCCCAGGATACAAAATCACCCCCTTTCCCCATACCTCACCTGTATTTGGCATTATTAGGCTTTTAACTAGCTGCCAATATGATGGAAATTTCTAATTACTGGTACAGATGAATAACTTAACATATACTTATTGAACTTCCTTTTGAATGTTCACTTCCTTTGCCCATTTTCTCTAATGGACTTTTCTTTTGTTAAAGTTTTAATTTACTTTGAGAATATATTTACACACATATGTATGTATGTCCAGAAAGCTTTAGAAATCTCTAATTGAAAATATACAATGCATTGTAATACTATAGTATATGATACTTAGTTCTTTAAAATAGAGAAAAAAAGCTAGGGACCAGTAGCTCAGCCCCTCAGGAGGCTGAGATCTGAGACAGTTCAAAGCTAGCCCAGGCAGCAAAGTCCGTGAGACTCTTATCTACAATTAACCACCAGAAAATGGGAAGTGGTGCTGTGGCTCAAGGGGTAGAACTCTTGCTTTGAGATGAAGAGCTCAGGGACAGCTCAGAGTTCAAACCCCACAACTGACCCACTCCCTAAAAAATGAACAAAAAAACTATGTATAGAACTATGTATAGAACTTAATAGAACTGAGGGCTGGGAAGGTGGCCCAGTGATAGAGTGCTTGCATTGCATGCATGAAGCCCTGGGTTCAATTCCTCAGCACCACATAAACAGAAAAAGATGGAAGTGGCACTGTGGCTCAAGTGATAGAGCGTTCGCCTTGAACTGAAGAGCTGAGGGACAGCACCCATGACCCACAACCGACCAAAAAAAAAAAAAGTTAAAAGAAAAACATAATCTTGGGGGGGGGGAAGAACTTAATAGAACTAAAAGGTAATAGAAGTCCCAACAATCTCATTGTCTAATTGGTGCTTCCACATTACCACCGTTAAGTGTTTCTTCAGTATTCTCTCTGAAGATTGCTAAAAATATGTAAGTCAACAGACCCAAAGTCAAGCTTTACAGCTAACAATTTAGAGGGGGTGTAGAGGCTGCCAGAGGGTAGAAGACTCCCTTCTCCTGGCTTTACCTTACCATGACAGTTCTATGAAACTTCGTAGACATTCCAGCTTAACTTTAACCACTGTTTCATTTGACTAATGACTACAAACTAAATAAAAGTGCAAAAATATCAGTCAAAAAATAAAAAGTCAAATTGTGAGTTCAAATCTATACTAACCTATCAAGTAAAAAATTCATTAAAAAAAAAAACTTTGATGAAAGTCCTGGGGCTTAAACTCAGAGCCTGGGCAGTGTACCTGAGCTCTTTCGCTCAAGGACAGCACTCCAACACTCGCGCCACAGCTCCACTTCTGGCTCTTGGGTTAATTGGAGATAGGAGTCTCACAGCCTTTCCTGCCCTGCTGACTTTCAACTACAATCCTCAGATTTCAGCCTCCTGAGTATAGCTGGAATTCCAGGTGGGAGCCACTGATGCCCAACAAGAAGTAACTTTTAAAAATAAAAACTATATAATAAGCTGATATAAAACCAAGCATATTACCTGACTAATGTAATTGTAACCCCTCTGTACATATAATAACAATTTAAAAATTAAGAAAAATACCAAGCATACAAAAGTAGAGACTTGGGCTGGGAAGGTGGCTCAGTGGTAGAGTGCTTGCCTCGCATGCATGAGGCCCAGGGTTCGATTCCTCAGCACTACGTAAGTAGAAAAAGCTGGAAGTAGCACTGTGGTTCAAGTGATAGAGCGCTAGCCTTGAGCTGAAGAGCTGAGGGACAGCATCCGGGCCCAGAGTTCAGGCCGCACAACCAACAAAAACAAAACACAAAAAACAAAAGTAGAGACAACTGCTCCAAGGGGCCACTCAATTTCAGCAGCTATGTCACTAGTCAATTTTGTCTCACTACATATACATACATCCTCACTTCCAGCCCTCAGCTCCAATGCACACACACAACTTCAAAGTGAATCGCACAACTGGAGTGGCTATCCAGAAATATCTAGCTGTCAAGTCATTCTCATGCTTCAGGCATACTGAGTCTAGACGTAACACAATCTACCCTTTTGTGAGTGTGTACTGGGGGGTCCATTTTTAGTACAGAGTTTCACTTCCTGCCCAGCATGACCCTGAGCCTAGATCCACCTACTCTAGGCTTCCTGTCATTTCTGAGGGTATACCCACATTCAGCTTACCCTCCACAGAGAATATTTGAGATCTTTCTGCCCAGGCTGGCCAGACAACCATGATCCTCCAATCTTACCCAGCTATGGGTTGAGAAGAGTCTCAAGAACTTTTCCATCTGGGCTGGCCTTGAACCACAATCCTACCATTCTCAGCTAGGATTATAGGCATGAGCTATCAGCACCAAGCAAAATAACCTTCCCTTGGAAACAGATACCTGGGTCTCTAAGAATACAACAGATATGTAGGAAAGGTTACCAGAGGTTCAGAGTTTTCTCAAATTCAATCACTGACTCTCAATTAAATGTTCAACCAAATAATCTGCGTGCTATAGTGATGTGTTTGTTTATTACACACTTTTTTTTTTGGGGGGGGGAGTTGGTCATGGGGCTTGAACTCTTGCCTGGGCACTGTCCCTGAGCTCTTCAGCTCAAAGCTAGCTCTACCACTTAAGCCACAGCGCCACTTCTGGCTTTTTCTGCTTATGTGGTGCTGAGGAATCGAACCCAGGGCCTCATGCATGCAAGGCAAGCGCTCTACCACTGAGCCAGCCCCTGATTATTATACACTTTTACTTTTTTTTTTTTTGTCGGTCGTGGGGCCTGAACTCTGGGCCTGGGAACTGTCCCTCAGCTCTTCAGCTCAAGGCTAGCGCTCAACCCCTTGAGCCTCAGCTCCCCTTCCAGCTTTTTTTTTTTTTATGTGGTGCTGAGGAATCGAACCCAGGGCCTCATGCATGCAAGGCAAGCACTCTACCACTGAGCCATCTTCCCAGCCCCACTTTTACATATTTTTAAAATCAATTATGTATTTTTTTAATTTCATCCTTAGTTAAATATTGGCACAAAAAGCCTCTGGAATATCTATATTGAAACAGAAGACAAAGCAAAAATAAATAGTAATTCTGAAAGAAATCACATGACTCTCTTCAGCAATCACAAAGTGTGTTGCTATCAAGTCAACAATCTTACCTAGGTATTATAGATATCAACACAAAAAAATCTTTTCAAATACTATTTCTAATTTTTTTGATGAAAAGTCAAAAATTTTCATTTTTCAAAAACAAATAAAATTTTAAACTGAATTCCCATATAGTAGGTTTTCCACAGTATGTAACAATTTACTTTTAAGCATTCAGCTTAATTGTGTGAGAAAAGAGAACATTATGTGTAACTTCCACAGAAGGTAATTCTTTCAAGCAACAGCTATCAACAAAGCTTAATATACATACCATATACTTGGTCCAGGAGTTAAGTTCTAGAGTACACAGAGCATGAAAACCTCTTCATGTAAAAACAACCCTTCATTTCAACCTCAGTAAACACAAACTGGAAGAGCCTTAGCTGCCCCCACAATTTCCTCCCACATCCCCACGTCCCCCAGTTACCAGCTCCTTCCCAGACTCCCTCCACTTGATGCCTTTTTTATTTATTTCAATTTCACACTGCATATCATTCTTGAGTGACATGAATAGTTTGGATATACTCTTTTCTCTTGTTTTGAAATTTCCTTTTGAGACAAAATACATAGGTTTGTGAAAATAGTGGACAGTATAATAGCTGAATCCTTATTAAGAATTCACACTATTGGTAAAAAAAAAAAAAAACTCATAGAATTACTCCAGATAAAGACTTTTGCTACAGCATGGTTTAAAATAGTAAAAATGAAGAAACAACCTAAATGTTCCTCAGTGTTTCTGGAATATTAAGACTCTTACCTCAGCTCTTTTCAGCATTTCCCACTTATTCAAAATTTTCATGGCGAATACTTTATCTGCATTTTTCAGTTTTACTACAGCAACCTAGAAAAATGTTAAAAACAACTTTTAAGTTATGATAAATAATACTCTTTTCAGTTAGCCATTTTCCTTTTCCACTCTGTAAAAAAGTAAATAGCAATTATCAATTATTTCAAGGTGGCTCACATTCTAAGATCCTGAATTAAATAATATTGTCAGGTTAAAAAAAGTTACATTAATGAATACATGCTAAACCAGAAAAAATACGCTGAATATTAAATAACCTGCTCATGATTTATTGTATCCTTCTTTCCAAGTTTTCTGTCCTCAAATTTAAACTCAATTTCTACTGACCAAAACACACAACATGAAAGAAGCAGGCCTAATTAAATAACACACACTAAATTCCATATTACAGATACTACAGGGAATGAGGAGCAAAACATTATGTGGGGTCACGTGATAGAAAATAAACTAAAAATGATTCCATTTTTTTCAATCCACCTGCACCCCTTTCACAGACACACACTCTTGAGAAATTCAGACTAAGTTTCACAAACTTCAGAATTTATACATCTCTTCCAAGTGAGCAAATCTTAGAAACATCCCCAAGTGCATTTACTGCTATATGATGCACTCTGAAAACCAGGAGGAACGAAGCGTCTGTGCAGAGATGAACGCATAGGTTGCTTTATTCCCCCACTTTTTGTTGTTATTGTAAAAGTGATATAGGAGGGCATACAGTTACATAAATCAGGGAAAGAGTACATTTCCTTTTGAACATGCCACCCCTTCCCTCACTCTCTCCCAGTTTTTCCCTTTGTCCTCACCCACAAGTTGTATAGTTCATTTTCAACATAGTGTCCAGTGAGCACCACTGCTGCAGTTGTTCACTCCCAAAGACAGATAAATGAACAAAAAGAAAAGAAAAACAGCAAAAAAGAGAAAGTCTTTTGTTACAAATAGTCCTATATTCTGTAACTTGAGCTAGGGATCCATAAACGGACAAAATGCCAATGAAGACAACTCCCCGTCAATAGACTACATTTCTGTTTGTATGTGCTTCAATGTGACTGGGTGATATCTAAGGATCCTTCCAGCTTGCTGGATTTGTTTAAGGGCTAAGGCTAATCCACAGAAAGGAAGACAAATATTCCAGGACAACACACCCAAGCAGTGGGAGGCAGGCATGGAGAAGACAAATACTACCTGCTACACTTCAAGTGCTGAGTCCCTTTACCCCAAGGGTCTCTGTGGCAGTTAATGACTTGGACTTGAGTGTGGCACTCGTGGGAGGTGATTTAAGAAACTTTAATAAGTTGCTACACTTGGATCAACTTGGTCTTTAGGTCTGCCTTTGAAAAAGTTTATGAGGCCCCATTCTGTTTTTTTATCTTGGCTTGTATGTTCTAAACATGTTACTTTACTTCATCACAATGATTTGCTACCTCTTTACAAGGCCAACTGATTGTGCACCGAGACTTTTCTAAAACCATGGGCCAAAATAAATCTCTTCTCTTTGTAAGTTGATTTTCTCAGGTATTTTTGACAGAGTAGAGGAATGTTAACACACTACCTTAATATGCAGGAGAAATAAAGTATGTACATATCTTTAAGCAACTCAAAGTGATAGTTATAAGAGCAGAAAATAGGTTTAAATTCAAGTACCAAATAGTCGTATACCCAAATAATTAAAATCAATGCATAACACACAACATTCTTGGCAAATGCCATAAATAGCTGCAATGGCTATGATTAGTTTTTCATCAGTTAAATCAATCGCTTTAGGCATTTAGTCTTACCTGGTCAATCTGGGAAAATAATGGGCCAGTTAAATTGTTCTCCAAATAGGATCAAGTTCAACAAAAGGGGACAGTAATACAAGCAAGGAAAATCTTGAACACTGACTAAGATTTCTAAATGGGTGAAAATACAAGGAGAGCTCCTCTCCAGACTATGAATTCAGTGATAGACATTTGGAAACAAACATGGACAGAATAGTAACACTAAGCTTGACAAACGTGCATTAAAGTCAGAGAAAAGACAGTGATGGCTGTCATACACCCTGTTATTCTAATGTAGGGAAGAAAGATGGGAAGATCAACGCTCAGGTGCCCCTCCCTTCTCAGATCACGAAGTGAGAGGAGCACTCCTACATAATTATATAGGTACATAATTCTGGACTTTCTTTCATGTATGAGTGTGCAAGAAACTACAGCACTCCACTGACTTTCACACAGGTCCCAAATCCATACATTCCTCCTAACTTGTTTGGAAACATACAGTGGCAAGAGACTATTAATAGTTTTGTGTATATGTCTGTGTGTGCACATATGCGCATGCACATGCATACACACACACACAAACTGGTCCTAAAGCTTAAACTTGGGACCTGGATACTGTTCCTAAGATTTTTTTTTGCTCTATCACTTGAGCCACAGCTCTACATTCAGCATTTTGGTAGTTAATTGGAGATGATAGTCTTACAGACTTTTCCTGCCCAGGCTGGCTTCAAACCCTGATCCTCAGATATCAGGCTTTTGAGTAGCTAGGTGTGAGCCACAGGCTCATACTTAGTACTGACACAAATTGTCACGTGGATGTGGTGTGCTATTCCCGCAGACACGTAGCAAGCATTCATAGTGACTCTTAGGGAGAAGTGACAGCATGGGCTCTGCTGTCAGATTGTGAGCTCAAGTCCTGGAGTTTGAAATTACTTTTTCTTTTGTTTATATCAATATCAATCCTGGTACCTTGAACTCAGGGCCTGGGCACTGCCCCTCAGCTTCTTCACTCAAAGATGGTACTCTACCACTTGAGCTCAGCTCCACTTCTGATTTTTTGCTCATTAATTGAAGGTAAGCACCTTACAGCCTTTCCTGCCCAGGCTAGCTTCAAACCTTGATCCTCAGATCTCAGTCTCCTGAGTAGCTAGACATGAGCCACCGATACTCAACCAAACAGAATTTGTGAAAGACTATCATAGGTATTAGAAAGAAGAGTTCATGTATCTAACACCACAGTAATTGTTATTTACGAAAACGTTAACAGCTTTAGAGTTGAATATTTCCTCTCCTGGTCTAGGAAGAAGCAAGCCCTTCACCATTGTAGAATGGTGCCCTGGCTTTTGAGCTCTTTTGAGCTCTTTCTTTGAGCATTATTTGAAGTAGCTATAATTACAGGATCAATTAGTTTGTCAGTTTGCAGACAGATGTAGCACAGCATTCATCATTCTACATAGACTGAGATGGTCTCTCACATGTAGAATGAATGATCTGAAACACTATACTATACTCATTTTTCTAACCAGTTTTGTTAGTCACCTTAGTTCCTTTTGCCATCCTGTTTTTGTAAGTCAAATGAGATTATTTTGTACATATGCATAATATGCAGAGTCACAATAAAAATAATTATTGAAAAATTGATTAAATTAGATTTAAATTAACATTAACTAAATCCTGGCTTGCCACTGGTTATGTAACTCTATACAAAAAAATTAACTTTTCAATATGCTAGTTGTCTTGTCAATGTAATGAAGTAACAGTACTTGCCTTATACAAGTGTGGCAAAGATTAAGCATGGTGAGTGTAACACATACAGGGAGTGACAGAGCCAGCACTGTGCCGAGAACCAGACACCCGGTCTCCTCACTGTCACTTGCTCCACTGACAGGCAGCAGGCAACCTGCGCTACCTGCTAACCACAAACACAAGAACTACTTCTGAGACTGCTAACTTCAGCATCTTGAATTCATTTGAAAATATTTATATAAAAACAAACATTCACCAGGTGCCCATGGCTCACGCCTGTAATCCTGGCTACTCAGGAGGCTGAGCTCTGAGGATCGTGGTTCAAAGCCAGCCCAGGCAGGAAAGTCCATGAGACTCTTATCTCCAATAAACCACTAGAAAACCAGAAATGGCACTGTGGCTCAAGTTGCAGAGCACTTGAGCCTAAAGAGCTGAGGGACAGAGCCCAGGCCCAGAGTTTAAACCCCACAACCAACAAAAATAAATGAATAAATAAAGACTCTGAAGAGACACTATGTGGAAAATAAGCAACACAACTTAGGATGGGGATGAGAGGGAAAAACTGGGAGCATGCAAAGGAGGGAGTCCAAAAAGAAATGCACTCATTACCTGACTTATGAAACAGTCACCCCTCTGTACATCACCTCTATAATAACCATTTCTTAAAAAAAAAAAAAGGCTAAGCCTTAGTATTTATCATGGTACACTTTTTCAATAGTCATTTTGTAACTAAATGAAATATAGAAAAATAGGACTAAATTCCACAGAGATATTCATAAACTCGAAGAAACTGGGAAAAATATTTGATAGGAAAAAGTTCACAATATAATGTTAAGTATAATTAAAGTTTAAACACTATGATTTCTTTTTCTGTGTGTATGAGTAAAATACATACTGTAAATTTCTATGCACATGTACACTGAGGATAGCAAGAAAACATCAGAAGATGGAATATCTCTAGGTGATATGTTCTATTTGCCTTTCTGTGCCCTCCAAATAAGCTGTGTAAAAAGTGAAGCAAATGGGATAGCGTGCGCTATCCTACCTCTCTGTGGTTGGAAATGACCCCAACTACTGAAGCACTGCTTCCGGAGAAGTAAAGGCCAACAGTGAGCTACTCCATGCATCTGCTGCTGCAGAGTTCAAATATCCTCAACACCATTTTTTAGTAGCTTACAGGCTGCCTAAAAACTTTTCTGGACTGAGGTGGGGTATGCAGAATCAAAGCTGGTTCAGAAAGTATTCTTTCTTTTTTTTTTTGGTCCAGTCATGGGGCATGAACTCTGGGCCTGGGCGCTGTCCCTCAGCTCTTCAGCTCAAGGCTAGCGCTCTACCACTTGAGCCACAGCACCACTTCTGGCTTTTTTCTTATGTGGTGCTGAGGAATCGAACCCAGGCATGCAAGGCAAGCGCTCTACCACTGAGCTACCTTCCCAGAAAGTATTCTTGAATTATCAAATTGGTAACAGGATGAAAAATTATGAAGCATAAATGTAATAAAACCAACTTGGCTACAAACTATCTTCATGTTCC